CCTTTACACTCCTGTCGCAGAGGACAGTACGACTTTACCCCCAGACCGCCTCGTAGCACGATTACTCGTAGTACGGGGTCTCGCTGCTCTTGGTCTGGCTGCTCCCCTTTGGCCTACCTGGCATGGTTGCACCTTGTGGAACGAAGTTCCAGCCAGTGTAACCCGCGGGACCATTGCAGCACTGAAGCCCGACCACCACGTCAAGGTGGCAGCTTTAGGTCGGGGCACACCTAACTAACAATAAAACATTGTCCAATGGGATAGGAGTGTATAGTGGTATTCATAGAAGCTTGTTAGCTTGCAGAACATACTTGCTCAAAGACCGTCAAGGTGGCAGCTTTAGGTCGGGGCACAGGCACCTAACAATAAAACATTGTCCAATGGGATAGGAGTGCATAGTTGTATTCATAGAAGCTTGTTAGCTTGCAGAACATACTTGTAAGCTCAAAGACCAGGAGGAATGTTACCTGACTATGAGGATAACACACGGGAACGAATCCTCTGCCGAAAAAAACTGTGTTCATTAATGTTCGCTCTTGGGGGGAGGGGCATTGTAGAGTTAAAGCTCGTATTGATCAGCCTTCGGGGCATGGCTTCCGCTACACGCCCTTCTATCTTAAAACAATGTTTCTCAAAAATTATCCATCCAGAAGTGGTGCACCCTCCCCCTCTGCTAATCACGGCTATTCGAAATCACGAGGATGCTCCGTTAGTCTAAAGGGCAAACAAATGAGAACAGTTCACTACTTCTTCAGTGTGTATTGCCCAATCTAGTCATGCACGTTGAACCCATTGGGAAGAGAGAACGCCGATCGGTGGAAAGAAAACTACGGGAATCTTAGCTGGGTGTGCAACGTTTGTAGAATCCAATCAATCCTCATACTCGAGAATATTTTCCGAAGAAGACGTATTCCGAAGCAGAGAAATGATCTACCCATGTCCAACAAAACTGTAGTGATAGCATGTGAAAAGGTGTGGGCGAAAAAGATGAACGGTATGGTAGAATATTGACCGCCTTGTTCACCTAAGGAACGCATAACTGGACAATCCGACGCGCGAAGGTGAAAAAAAACCGAAAAGTTGCCAAAAAGACAAACTGATGAGGCGCAATGAGGGTATATCTCTTCGGGTTTTAAAATTTAGGTCGGAAGTAATGGGAACAAGACAAAAGATCAAGGTATTTACAGGATTCATAGTATACTTCTGAGTGAGGATGTCGGAGGAAATCAACACAGTAGAGAATGATGATTTCAAAACCAACGCTTCAAATTCATGAATCCAAACAGTGAGGTAGTATAATTCATTCTAAAAATCACCATGTTGTGTCTGGAATCTATGGGCACAAAAATATCATCCGTACTTCGAGGAATACACTAATTTGCAAATCAATTTGGTTTTCACGAGAGACTCAACTGAATCTATCGTTTATGACATTCTACAACTGAATGTGCTGTACACAGGCCGCCTCATTATTCAGTTAGCACGATATTCGAGATATCGCAGTATATTTTCATAAATGAAACTACTCACAAGGTTGGTGAAAACTCTTCGACAGCTCACGACCGGTGTCGCCCTTCTTGCGGCTCATCAGGTAGGCGCAGTTCCCGAGTTTCCGTCAACCTTATGTTCTGCTTGAGCCCAAATTGAACTGTCTCCGAGAAATACACACATTTGCGAATCAATTTGATTTTCACGAGAGACTAAACTGAATCTTTCGTTTATGATAATCCTATCGAAGAGTTTTCAGTAACCTTGTGAGTAGTTTCCGTTATGAAAATATCATCCGTACTTGTTTCGGCAACGCATCTTCAAACTAAAGGTGCTAAAAGAGAACATTTGCAAATATTCTGTCGCTACAACGACAAAGGGGAAGCAGTCAAAATTCTTCCGCCTACAACCTACGCAAAACCAAGCCAGGGATAAAGTCGGTTGGGCATACTGGCTGTCCGAAAGTACAGCGCGGGCACGTCCCACTTGGTCACGATTTCCGAAAAAAGGATCAATGGTAGGTCGGCCAAAAGAAACTTGGGAGTAGTAGAGTGGACAATCAATTGTTATTTATCCGTAAGAGAGGAATTATTGGCAAGGAGTTTTCTACGTTGCACAATAAAAGACCAAACGTAACAACACACTGCAGCTAGAGAACACCTCAGGTGTCCTACTAGCAACACAAAAGACACAAAAGTGAGTAGTCGACAGTTTTCTGTTTCTACTCCAAGGTGTATGGAGGTTTAACAGGGGCCATGCTAATACCAATCTCATTTGGCTGGTGATCAACAGGCACAATTTCACTTGGTTTTGCATGCCAACCATTGGTTCAGTCCAGCATCGGTTGGAAATTCATGAAATCCTCAAGCGATTGAGACCCTGATTGTACGAGCTGAATCGAGTAGGGATAGTTTGTGAATACAATACAATACTGACGAAACGGTATCGTCTCATCTCATAAGTACACCAATTTTTAGTTCGAAAGTAATAAAAGAAATTGTTTGTTCCAGCCTCACGCTTTTTCAGTATATCAGATGAAGGTCCTCGGTGAGAGTATGGCGAACACAGCACAGCAACCGATTGCAATCCGATTCACTGCACGAAGCACCAGAAAATTTCACTTTGCTCTGTAATCAGCTCCAGACGAACTCCGAAAACCCCAGGCTGAATTGTCAACATCCCACGACTACCACTGTAACGATGCATTCTACTGATGGAACGTGCAAGTAGTGCCTGATCACGTGTCAAAGAATCTTCCCTGTATCCGATGGACGGTTGGAACCGCTTTCCAGTGCTCGTTTACCCTTGTTTAATACTTAATACTCAAAAAATGTCCAGATAAGTCCAAGAAGACGCTTGAGAATGTTCGCTTCTCACAAACTCTACAAACGAGGCTTTTACTTTCGTGTCTAATAGCTTGTGACCGCTAAGTTCGGGTTGGTCAACAGTTAACTCTGCACTTGAGGGTGATCTTCCCTTCAGCTGGTGCCATCACCAGAATCCAAATGAAAATCCCGTGGTCACAACCTTTCGAGGATGTGGACCTCCGAACTTTCCTGGAGGATTTCGAGGATATGGCTCAGGAGGTCGGACTGAAAAGTGATCGGGGGTAGTTGATGGCGCCAGAAAGGGACCCTAAGAAGATGGACTGGGTCGCCGCGAAGTCAGCTCTATTAGCACGAGCAACAACAACCACCTAGTGGTGGAGATAGTCTACAAGACGGAAAAGGTCTCGTGTGCCTAAGAAAGACATCCTAGCAGCCTGATTCTGACGGACAGATGATTTTGGTAGGTGATTACATGAGCAGATCCCTAAGAACGGAAGCAAATAATATTAGAGACACATCACGAGACTATCAAGGCTCGGTCGACTCACCGGGTGTGATGTCGGCTTTGTTCATGTACATCCATTTCGTTGGCTTTGAATTCATTCAGCTCACGTCGAATGTCAGCCTGAGAAGTAAGGTGTAGATATGAAGAAAAGACTAGGAAATTGAGATAAAATAAAACCAGCTGCTTGGTTGGTTTGGGTCAAATAACTGGTTGGTGGGTGAACCTACATCCATTGAGGCCGTCTAGTTCGTCAAGTAGGTATAATACACGAGTTTTCTGTTGGCTACAAACTGTTTTCTAAGTACGGCTTCTTACAAGTAGCGTATCCTCTGCTAAGGTTTTGATTATTGAATTAACATCGAGTTCATTGTACCCTGAAGTCAGTTCGGGCTGCAGGCACAGTAATTCCTCTCTGATGAGGTGAGGAAGCGCCCGACAGCTGATGTATCTCCCTCCCTATACAGGAAGAATCAACAATTGTTTGAATTGGTCACCTGTGGAGTCATGATATACAGTGGTCTCCCACCACAAGGATGAACAGATAAACGGGGCATAAGCTACCCACAGCAGTTTCTAACCACATGGCCACCATAAGCGGCAGCTACTCGAGGGGAAACGTTGTTTCGAAGAAATAATCCTCCTCTTCCAAATACAACAGAAGTTCGAAAGAGTGACCCCCAAGAACCAAGAGAGCTTTTTTGGTCCTGGAAATGACTGATTTGTCTTTGAAGAACCTCACAGTGACAATAGGGTTTGTCACTTGCTGCTTGACAGACATTGAACTAATCACAAGGTTGAATAATATCTCTGGGCAGCTCACTGCCAGTTGAGTCCCGTTTGGGGCAAATGAGGTCTCCAACGACAGTAACAAGCCCGTAGTAAAACAGAGTGCTTGGCAGTCATACAACCATGAGGGAAGGATGTCCTCGGAAATAACTGGAAGAACCGAGGACATGGCGCCTACATCTGCAAACACATCTGCTCGACGTAACGGAGTAAGACGCCATCAGTGAAGATGACTCAATATCCTTTGCGAACCTCGCCTAACAGGAGCCCAGCACACAACTACAGGTCAACTTTAGTGTCATGTCCTGTCTAAGTGAGAGTTAACCACACTGCTGATGAGCCACTTATGGCAGAACAGTTTAGCCTCCAATTACTAGCCGGCGGAGTTGCGGAGTGTGACGCTTGCACTTCTATGGCTGTGAAGATGACACGATGACTGGTTTATTCCAATCCCCACAGAATGGTTTTTGTTTCCAAATTAGTTCAAACAATTTGATGACCAAAGCACAACACCGAGGCCAATCATTGTCTTCCGGTAATTCTAGCGGAAGCTTATTTAGCCTGACGGCCAGATGGCATTTCAAGGTAGGAAAGCATATCATTACTTTTTGAACTGATTGCGAACCTAAACTGATGAACCGCGACTCAATCTGAGCACGTTGAATGCAAAATATGTGTGGATTGACAGAGGTCAGCCAGCGTTGGGAATATTCTGCCCAGAGATCTGAAAACAGGCTTTTATTGTCTGTTAGCTTTCCAATATTATCCCTGGTTGACTCACTATTAGACAATCGAAACAGCATCCAGGTACTCGATATTGCACCAGTTTTCCTCGCTTCCTTTACTTTCTGATTCCACCAGTTCTCTCTGTCCACACGAATACTTCCTTTTGAGATGACGTCTAACCGAATAATGCTCTTTCACATCAAGCAGTGACTGACAGTTATGAAATCTAGTAGTTTCCTTGCACGGGTTGGAAACAGTACAAGCAGAACTTCCGACACCATGCATAGCCCTGGCACTCACCTCTCACTAACGACCAACGTCCTTCGAGAAGATAACTTGTAGAGCACCTAAAGTAAGCTTTGGAAAGGTTCTCCGTCTCCGGATCACAATGCTTTTCTACTGTCAAAAGGTGAACTCGTCCGTGGGTTTGCTGGGGAATACTGATGGATGGGATAACGATCTGGCAGGCCTAGTCCGTGAATTCCCATTAGTCGGTTGCTCAAAAATAGCAAATTGAGCGTAAATGCGTAGGCTAATTGAAGTGCTGTTGAATAGAGAGCCACTCGTTCATACTATCCTTCAACTGGATATGCGGAACAGGGGTCACTTCATGTTTCAGTCGGAACGATGTTCAAGATATCACGGTGATTCCTGGGAAATGACACTAGTTACAGTGTTGAGAGGAACTCGTTGACAATCACAATGGCTGGTCAAGTAAGTGGCAAGACCGGTGAAACTTCGGGGACTACACCTCACCGATGACTTGCAAAAAGTGTAATTGGTAGCTTAAACATAAGCCCGACCAAAACAGAAAAACGTCGGTTTGGCCATTCGACTAAGAATTGCAGGTATGCTCATCAGTGGGATTGGTCGCATATCATGTTTTGTAAGTTTCTATGTGCAAGAGATACTGTGTGACCCCGGCAACGAAGGCTCGTAGGTCTTAGATAGTTTAATTTAATACTAGTCGCTTTTATTTGGCCTCCCTTCAGCAAGCATTTTGCTGCCCCCAGAGATTTGGACTGACAATTGCCGACAAATAACTTTATGCGGATGTACTGCAGCCAGATGAAGCCTGTCATGCTAAGAGAACCTCAGTGATCAAATGTCTTCAGACGCCCGGGATGTTCGAGTCGAAGAGACCAAGCCTAACAACTGCAAAGTAGGACTGCTCCCACAGTCGTCCCGCAAATAGCTTCATCTTCAAAAAACTCCGTTTCGGAAGCCAAGAATGATGGTGGATGTAGCTCACGCCTTGATCATGTGCACACTGAGTTTATCAGTTTGTGCAATCATGAATTAAGTAGCTGTCGAAATATGTAAACCGCCAACTAAATCAGGTTCCTCAGGCTCGGTTTGCCTGGGCAGAAGAATCTGAGATGTAGAACTGAAGCCGAACCTTGGACTTTCAGGTTCAATGCCACCCAGCTATCCATGCATTAGTTCCCAATGCGTTACACATAACGATCGAAACCGCCAACTGAAGGTGAACACGAGGGACTGCATTGCAAATCATCGGAACAGTCATGGATAGGAACCAAGCGATCGACTTGGATGCTTCTCAGCTAGGAGCAAGGCTATAATTAGGATCATGTGACTTTTTGTAAGGGTGACAACCACAATCAAACTCAAGGCATCACCAGATGTCAGATACGCAGATCAGGAATAGTGGCAAATCAAGAAGGTCGAAATAGGAGAGAAAGTGCTGGAAATTTCTCAGGTTGTTCCACTTGATTCGTGTACCAACTTGTGGGGAGCCTCTTGTCAGGGACAAAGACTACAAGAACGTTCAGGGAATGACCCTGAATCACGCACTTCTGGACACGACAGTATTGGAAACTGAAAAGGCTTCAATGGAAAAAATGCCGACTCTGTTCACTCATGTTCAAACTCTTCGTCGATGAAATAACGGGGTGAACGTTAGATGGTCTTCGGAACCGCGCTGTGCTTGCTTACCTCCAAGATGCAATGGATGGAAGCATGGACGATTCGGTAAACTGGATGCACAAAACGAAACGTTTTTGGAGTCCGTCACGAGCGACCGACTCAACGGAGTCAAGATAACCACAAACGCGCGAAATTCTCACTGGACTGGTGAATGCTTTCATGATAAAAAAGGTGTTTCCCAACTATTCGAAAGTACATCCCTTCACCCCTAAAGGGCGCGTGAGTCCCGCTCAATAGCCACTAAGCCTAACAATTCACACGCGGACCCAACGTCTGATACTTTTCAAGTGAACGTGGAGCGCAGTGTGCAAACAGATGAAGCGCTTAATAAATCAGTTTTTATTCTTCACTCCCTATCGTGACCCACTTAGGTGTCCACAGTGTCCTGGCCGTCTGACCATTCTGTCGGATAGCATGAAGTGCGTGAACACCATAGCGTATGATCGAATGAAGTAGGCAAATCAACGACTGACCGTGAATAGAGTTCGTTTAGAATGATATAGGCCGACGAATAAAACACGTTTCAAAAAGGTGCACTGGTGTCTGACTGATTGAGTTCAACTAAGAAGCGACAGAAGCCACTCAGGAAGAACAACAACAAGATGTCAAGTATACTATGTACTCAAAGCGGTGAAGCGTTCACCGCAAATCAACGTGTGTGCATGAATTATTATCTCTCTGTTTCCACTCCACGCTAGAGTCAGATCACGGTTATTGCTGCGAATATGTTTTACGCCTATTCAGTGTCCCCGTACGTATTCGTTAGTTAACAAATTTGCATTTCATACAGTTTGCTAACATAAAAAAAGCTTTGCCAGCCCAATTGTTCGTCCGGAAACCAGAACTATGTTGTTTCCACTCTGTAGGGTAATCAAATCACAAAGAAAACATCCACAGCTGTGTGTCTGAAAAAGGACACAAGGGCTATCGATCCATTTGTTTGATGTAATAGAACCGAACGCCTTTGGTCAAACTTTTTTCTGGAAACGAAGACTATGAGGTACAGTCACTTTGAAGCCGACCGAGGGCTGGACTTCTCAAACCAACCTAGTCTAGTTGCAACTACAGTCAAGTCCCAGTTGACCGAAAAAATGCGTCCAGATCGAAATGCCCTACTTTTTGAACAAGTCATGCGGCAGGATCAGTATAGGACGGTGAACTGTAACACATCAGATGAGGTAACAAGTCAATAAACTTGCATCATGCATAAGAGAAGAAAACACCACACGAAGGAACTCCTCGAAGAGGGGTTACGACCAGAGATATCAATAATCCAAGTTATGCTACCAAAGGTGAGTGAGCCTACAACTGGTTGATGCATCAAGACAGACCGAAAATTCGGATGTATGACCTGCTTAACAATCGCACAAATTAAGTATCATTTGGCAGTGTGGCAGAACCGCCTTCGGTCTTGACAACAACCAGTTAAAGCTGTCGAATTGGATGCGTACTAATTCGGAAAGGCGATTAAGTGAAGAGAATAAAGTTATTCCAGAACTGTTCAAACCAGTGATATGAACGTAAGTTTTGTTCATGCTCTGTGTTTTGCGAAACGGATAGAATATGAATAAAAGAGTTGATCAACGTACTTGTCAAGTGCACATCGGTTAAACAGTCCAACCCAAAAAACTCACTTGGCACGTGATAGACCGTTTCTAGAGTATAGCTTGATGAGGCAACGAACTGGCCTGTACAATAGTGTGTTCCCTAAGAGTAACCACTCGTCGAATGCTGAGAGGGATCCTATGGGAGGAAGCACACACTTCTTTCCAGCCAGAGGTAGACGGCTTCTAAAAAAGGAGCTCCAAGTGACTCCAATCTAGGAAGATCCAACTTGGTACAGATTACTGTATTAAAAATCGAAAGCAAGCAATCAAGATGTCGCAGCCTTAGCGCACGCAACACCAAGGAGCTCGGCTGCCATTGAGCAAATCACAATACGTCTAAAAAAATTAATCGGCTTAGAAGCCAACAAAAAAGTTCCTGAGTGAAGTATGTGAGCAGATGGTTCAGGTGGTTAGAGCGCGAATTTACTGGCCGGAAGGTCCGTGGTTCGAGCCCGACCTCTATCCCTCGAATTCCCCTGTCTAGACTTGTGCAACCTGGCAATATCCCAGCCATCGTGCTTGCTGCGGGTGGCATGGCAGCTAGGCACCGGAAGGGTGTTATGTGAACAGTCTGATAAGAATGCGATTCCGGTTGTCTAAAACGATGCAATTGTATGAGACGATATTTCACATCATAACACTAGGCCAAGTTGTGATTGAAAACAACACAACCCGCATGAAATTCCTGTGGTTAACCAACAACTACAATCCACAAGATTGGTGACAAGCGAACATGAAAAAGGATGTGTATACCTTATCACGCGGAGTCAATCGTGTCCATGGTTTGTCTGCACGTCGATCGTACACTTCTGCTTCGGTTATCTCGACATAATCATTGAAACGGATAATCCGACGCTGCTGGAGTTCTTTTACCGTCGGGCGAGTGGAAAGCTATAGAAGGAAACGGGTGAAAGAAAATATCACACAACAGATGAAATGAGCTAGAAATCTAGGTGGATATGTGTAAATGCATGTGAGTTCTGCTTCTACTCCTCAAACAGGAATTATGTAGGTGTGTGCGGGGTGATCCCTGTTGAAACTATGGCAATCAAATATCAGAACAAGCAAAGTCATCAAGTGAACACAAAATCACAGCAGAAGCGCACATTTGCTGTACGAAACAGCTTCTTCAGCTGCCGATTAGGTCTCTCTTCCCGGTAGGTTAAAACTCCTATCCGTTGTACCTTCGGTGTTCCGCTGACATATAACGGTTCGCCCGTCCTGTGCTCCTCTATATCACAAACCACATAAGACAAATAGGAAGAGTGTAGTCAAACATTTTTTCGACAGCAAGTCACGAAACCATCGATTTCTCCCAGTGACGCTACCACCAGAGAAATTCAGTTAATACTGGGTCACTTTTGTTGCGGTTACTGTGACGAAAGTAAACACATGCCACATATATAAATACCTCTCATGACAGTCTTCACCAAGCTGGAGCGGTGACATTTTGATTTTAGTCTTCAAATAGCTCAACCAACTCGAATCATTGACTGTCTGACATTCAGTATAGACCAACACATCAGTATCTTGGCAGAAATGACTAGTTATACAGAATGGATGGAAAAGTACATCGTGCGGAGAAGAACCTTCAGTTCAAAATTGTCGCTGACACAAGGGGGCTGTTCTGGAAAACATAATCATCTCGAATTCGGGCAACAGGCTTCGTCTCCATATGATCCATTAGAAAATGCAAAGCACCATCAGCTTCCTAACACGTTAATTAATCCAGTATAGCTCCGAGATTTGGAGTGGGAGCGCCATTTTGTCCGTCTAAATTGCAACGGGTTGCGCTTTCAGAGTGCACGAAAACTAACAGTTCATCAACCATAGTATTCCCTTTAAATGGTACGATAACCGAACCTGGTGTTAAGTTCTCAAGTGGTCGTTAAGTAACTTATTTTGGAGTACTATATCACATTTTAAAATAAAAACCGGTTCTTACAGCGTCCCAAATCTTTTACAGAAGATCTAGTGACCATGGTTTTCAGGTTATTACGATACTAGATTGTGCATGAAATCCATCGGACGCGGTTGACAGACGGACAACTAGAGGTTGAATCGACCATCGAAGATGCACTCCAGAGTGATCGGTTCAACTGCCAGTCTATTATATACCGTTCCTAGACGCAAATCGATCCATTAGTATTCTGGGTCGCAACATGTATCTTTTAGTTTGAGATATTCTCCCAACCTGTCACCTGCAATCAAGCCTCAAGAATACAGATTCTTCAGTTCGAAATGCGTGTACAGTTATTTGTTCGAAAGCGATCACTTCTAGTGGACCACAAACCCCTGCTGTGAGAGTCGTCTCTATGACCAAATCTTAACTTACGCTGTTAGTTCCGTAATCGACTGTGTTATTCTGAGAACTGCATGTGCGAAACTAGCCGTCTGTGATAAAGGGAGAAAGGTCTGTCTAAAACAGTCATCCGACTATGCAGATTGAGGGAAGGTAGGCTAGAAAAAGTGTGGCGACAGTCCCCTAAAAGTTGGACGATGGTAGTATTACACCAACCACCAGCAAACGCTTTGCTATCAGGCCTTTGAGCCAATGTGATCTAGCCTAAGATAGTAACTGCCTTCAAAAAATGAACTGACAGTGAGGGATCGGGGGCTTCATCGCGGTCACAACAAACTCCTCGGCGCCAATTAACCTTAGTCGCCTAAAGACAATCCCATAAAATACTTGAGAGCAGCAAACGGGGTCTCGGTCGAGTAGAGGGTATGTGAACCTAATGTTCATGCCCTGACATGCAGTCATACACTTAAAGACGGCGTAAAATCTTGGTGTTCCCTGACTTCGAGAGTGTTTTCGGCTGCGTTTACTGCACATTTATGTACAGAGAAATGTCCCAGAAGCTTGTGGATATCCGCGTCGTTTATGTTCACAGACTTGTAAGTGCATGGGGAGTTCGCGTAAAACTAATACTGGCAATGGTCTCCTGCAAACAGGACCACTTTTTTCGTTTTATATTCAATGTTGTGATTCGTAAGATGTTGAAAGGTAATGTGGAAAAGTTTCCGAACCCCCAGATTTCAAACTGCGTAGGCGGGGTTTTGGCGATCTGGAATACGCAGATGATAACACTCACATTTGAACATAAAATGAAGTGTGTCTTCAGGAAAACTGACCAGAGCTATTCCATCATCCGTCATGCGATTCACACGAGAAAACTGTTGAGATTTGTTGTGGCACATGCAGTTTTTGAACCGGACAGCTCTTGGCGATCACAAGTTCCAAGCTACGGGAGGTATTAAAGGATTCACACCGGGGCATTCAGAAGACGGGTACTTGATGAATGTGGAATGAACACAACACTGCAAGCTGCCGTGGCTCGGTCATATGCCACGCGTGTAGATTTTTGCTCGACCGAGAACAGCGTTGTGTTTCACGTCGGATTCGGAAAGGCGCTACCAAGTGACCAAAGTTTCATCCGTCATGAAGGTACGAAGGAGATTACGAAAAGTCTGAATGCTGTCGGAATCACCCGTCTTCTAGGGCGAGGTGAAAGAGATCCGTCCTGGGCTTCGCTTCATGGGTTGCAGGATATGTCCAACGGCCAACGTCAATGGCGTTCTTGCTATCAGTTTCTATCCGGATTTATCGAATGAATGTTTGGAGGTATAGGCATCTCAAAATCTTGTGAAAGACTGGGTACCAGTTATCACTTTGTTCTTCTCTTACTCAAGACTAACAAGATGTTTTACCCCACTGTGCTGTGATCAGTGTTGACAAGATCTCTTTGAGAGCAGACCGACGATTCTACTAACATTTCAACTGCAAACGAACATTTCTGGTGTTTCCGTCCCAACGGTCAGTTACTTTTATATAAGTGCTGCATTAAAGATGGACGTTTTTAAGACAGTCACAAACGTTTGGAAACCCCAAGAAAAACACGGGATTCTGACAATGTTCCTTAGTAACTTGTGATTTGAATACCAACTGGCTTTGCACACCGCTTCACGCACTTGATAGACGTTTCTTGTTTTAGAGCATTCGGTACACGCGCTGTCCTGGATTTGCGACAATCTGCGACACGTTTTACTACTTGTTATTTTTCAATCGTTTTCGTTTTTTTGTTATTCTGCCTCCCTAACCCACGATTTCCCCGCCCGATATCAAATTATAGTGAACAAATAAAACTGTCATAATAAAATCACGACTTGCGTCTAAATTTAGCGGTGAAAAATTTTCCCATTAGGGTACAGCAACCAGGGTCACCATAAGTCGATGAAGTGGACTATAGTGAACTACTGAACACCTCGGTCTTCATGGAGAAACTTGTAAGGCCTGAGGATTTGAGGTTCCAAGCAGATGTTTGACAAACAAAAAACTGATGTAAAGCCTTGATGACAATGTACATGGTTTTCGTATCCCTATGTCTTACTGCTGCTTCACTATCCAAAACGTCCAGGAGCATTTGTATCACATAAAATTTTGCCCCTTTGGATATGGTCACTGACCATATGAGAATCCTTCCATCCAAGAAACGCTTCGGAAGAGAAACAAGAAAATCTTCTTGATGGATACTTCTCTTTGAACTTTTTCGATTCCTCAGTTCGGCGGCGCTGGTCACTGCCGTCTTCTTGGATGGGGACCCCGAGACGGGCCACATCAATGGCTAGAGACATTGTCAGATATGACCCAGTCGCGCCCTCAATGGCG